TCAGACTGGGCCTCAGTGCAATGATGTCTCAGTGCAAAGATTTCCAGCAGCCCATCACTGGAGGCCAAGATGGAGAAGACCTGCTTGGCCACCAGGCACTCCCCTCCACCCTCAGTGGGTTGTGTGTTCAAAGCTGGGTATGTGGCCCAGCTCCCCATGGAGTTCTGCCAAGGACCCAATCAAAGAATCCCCCAAATTCCTGACACCCCTGGGTGGGTAGATGTCATGGCACAGATGTTGCATGTTAATCTGTCCTAGGTAGGGTGGCCAAGCCCCACACCACCAGATCAGGACCTTGACACGTGCTGTACATTCAGCTCACTGCAGGAAGTGTTTGCATCCTCCTGCCCTCACAAACCAAGTCCCAAGGGAGGCTGGTTTGGCAGGATGCCAGAGCTCTCCATGCTTCCCATGGTGTTTGTGCCAAAAGATAAGAGAGTCCCTCAAGCAAAGAGGTGGAAACCATTGTCGTTCAGGCCAAGTGGTCCTGGGGCTCTCTCTGGTCTGCTCCACCCTCCTGCTGATGATGGAGGCCAGAGCTGCTCAAAATTTAGTCCATCTGCCATTCCCCTGAAATTATCAGGAGAAGTCGGGAAGACACTGGAGTCTGCTATATACCACCCACTCAGCCTTGTCTCCTCAAGAGGAAAGGAGCTGAGAGGCTTCATCCTACCCAGAACCGCAGTCAGAACTGAAGTTTGGTGGGAAGGGCAGTGTTGGAAAACCTGCAGCTTTCCTAGAGGGAGAAAGGAAAGCTCAGTGAGATTTGCACAACTTCAGAGGGTTCTGGGCATCCCCATTGGATGGTGCCCACTCCACACCCACGTTTTCATCAGGAAAACAGTAAACCAAAGAATCTCTCTGTTCTGAAATGTCTGTGCTTTCTGGCTGCTGTTTTGTGCAGAAATGGTTGGGTAGCCAATATTGCCTTTTGGGGTAACTCAGTGGGGTCATTCCATGGGCTCATGATGTGTCTTTGGCACACTGATTTTTTTCAGTGTTGGGGACATGGGCAATAAAACCACAGGGACAGGCACCAAGACCCAGGCAAGCAACCAATATCCAAACTTTAAGTCTGATCTAGTTCAGCTCTGGAAGTCACTGCCCAGAAGAGCAGAGCCATGTGGCAAGCACAGTCCAGGAAACAAATACAAAGGGAGGGGAAGTCAAAGTCAGAAACTGGCAGACGAAGAGGACAGGAGGTCACACGTGCAGACCAAGGAGGGACCAGCAACCAGGAAGGGCAGGGGTAACACCAACCAGCACACCAACAAATCATAGGACCTTCATTGCCAAGGCAGCTACTGGAGGGAAAAGCCAATTCTTGTATAGCTCTTTCCCAGGATTCCCAGCTGGTGCTCATGAGGGCCCTGGCAGCTGCGGTAGAGTGAGGGAGTTCTCCTGCAACTATCAGGGCTCCATGCTCTGAAAATGCCTCAGAGGGGTTTCAGAACACCAGAAAAAGACAGTGTGGTTGAGAACCCACCTGAGACCTGATGAATCTAAGAGAAGACTGTCTTCTTCCCAATCTCTGAAAATTCAAATTGGAAAGATAAGGAAGAAGAAGATATGGATGTTGTCTGGGCACATGGGGGTGCAAGGTATCTTTCACCTCCCCTCCTTCCTTCTCAGTCCTTCCATGGCTATCCCAGGGCCCCTCACAGCAGCAGTTAGATTCCCCTCAAATCAGTGCTACATTTGTGATAGAGCTTCTGTAAGTCTGGGAATCCAAAATAGAAGAATCTGGTCAACTCTGTACACAAGATGGAATCCTTGAGCACCTTTACTGCAAGGGAGGAGACTGGGGCTTATGGCTTAGTTCATATCCAAGTGGTGCCCTACCTTCCTTTCCTCCTTCCTGTGGGATTTCATCTTTTTTCAGTTCTTTTTAATGATAAGTTTTATTCAAAATTATAACCCTAAAAACAAAGAAAAACTAAAAGCAGCATCAATCATTAGAAACATCAGACCTGCTGGGTCAGCCCCCACATTTTTTTCCATTTATGATAACTTAAAAAAAGATTTAAATCTATACGAAGTCCCATTTCTCTAGCCAATAATAAGAAGAATCCCAAGTTTGATAGAAATCAGTATCTTCTTTCTCCTTCAATGACAAAGTCAATCTCTCCATTTCTGCACAGTCCAAGATGTTTTTTAGGATCAGTTCGTCGGTGGATGGTTCTTCACTTTTCCGGTGTTGAGCAAATGCAATCCTTGCCGCAGTAAGTACATGTGAAAATCAAGTACATTTCTTGTTTATTAATATCAACAGCTTTAATGCCTAATAAGAAGACTTCAGGTTTAAAAGCTAAGGATTGGTGTAACATTTCCTCAAGCCATTTATGTATTTTAATCCAATACTTTTCGCGTTATTGCAAGTCCACCACATATGATAGAAAGTACCCAGTTTATGTTTACATTTCCAACATCCATTTGTCATATTTGGAAACATCTTAGCTAATCTATTTGGTGACAGATACCTTCTATAAAACATTTTATACAGGTTATCCGTATGAGAAGTTGCTAATGTTACCCTAATATTTCTGTCCCACAGCTTTTGCCATTTTTCAAATTCAACATTATATCCAAAGATTTGTGCCCATGTTATCATAGTTTCCTTAACCTGTTCATCTTCCATTCTCCTGTTGAGTAAGAAATTATATAGTCTTTTAATCATTTTCTCATCTGATTTAAGCATCACCTTATCTAATGCTGTTAAATCTTTATAAGAGACCCACGTTTTATATTATTTAGCATATCTCAACTGTATCTGCACCTTATGCCACCAAGAAATATTACATCCTTGTTCTTGTGTTTCTTGATTCAATTTCAATCCTCCATCATTATCCAGAATGTCATCATATCTTATGATTCCTTCAAAGTTCAGTGCATTTGGATATACAAAAGCTTTCATAGGTGAAAGCCATCTTGGTAATTGATTATACAATTTTGTCTTTAACTTTTCCCACACTGACATTAATGATTTCCTAATATAGTGACTTTAAAAAGAACCATGTAGCTTAGCCTTTTCATAGGACATATAAGCATGCCAACCCATTTGCAAATCATGCCCTTCAAGATACAAGATTCTCTTATTTCATAAAGTTATCCACTCTTTTAGCCATGTTAAAACAGAAGCTTGATACTACAGCATCCAATCAGCGAGACGAAAGCCCCCTTTCTCTTTAGCCTCCTGAAGTATTTCTAGTTTAATCCGTGGTTTCTTCTTCCTCCATATAAATCTTGAGATTTGAAAATTTAAATCATCAAAAAAATTTCTATCAGTTTTTATGGGAATCATTTGGAATAGAAACAAAAGCTTTGGTAACATATTCATTTTAACTAGTGCTATTCTTCCCAGCAAGGATAATTGCAAATTAGCCCATTTTTCCAAATCGCTCCTAATATCCTTCAATAGTTTATCATAATTGTATTCTTTCAGAGTGGTACACTTAGCTGTAAGATAAATTCCAAAATATTCAACCATTTTAACAATCTGCAAGTTTACTTGTTCCAGCAGAGTTTTTCTCTGCTCCTGTGTGAGATTTTTTACTAACAATTTCATCTTTTCTCTATTTTCATCCCAGTAACCTCGCCATATTCTTCAATCCTTTGTAGCAGTTTAAGCATTATTACTAAGGGTTCCTCCATTATGAAAACTTGATCATCTGCAAATGCTTACAGTTTATAGCTTTCATCTCTGATTATAGTACCTTTATTGTCCATATCATCCCTGATGTTTCTGTTTAACATTTCTACGATAAATATAAACCACATAGGCGATAGCGGGCATCCTTGTCTTGTACGCTTTTGCATATCTATAATATTTGTAAGTTGTCCATTGATTATAATCCTAGCTGACTGCTTTTTATAGATGCTTGATATCACATTAATAAACTTTTCACCAGACTCCATTTGAGCTAGCTGTTGCTTCATAAATTGCCAGTTAACATTGTCAAAAGTCTACTGTGCATACATGAATAATAGTGCAATTGGTTTTTCCGTATGTATCTCACAATACTCTAAGACGCACAAAATAGCTCTTAAGTTATTCCTCATTGTCTTTTAGGTAAAAAACCATTTTGATCTGAGTGAATAAAGTTTGTTAGATACTTCTTCAATCTTTCGGCCATTATGGAGGCAAAAATTTTGTAATCCCTGTGGGATTTTATCTTGATGGCCAGAAATCAAATGACCATCTGGAGGAAATGCTGGCCACAAGGAGCAATGTGACAAGTATTTCACCTCGGGTTGCCTCAAGGGTGGAGGCCATATGACTGAGGCCGAAGAATATGATCAGATGCCCAGTTTGAATTTGAGCATTATATTCTCCTTTGTATTCAGATCAGGCTTCAGCACTACAATGTAGCACTTGGGGATGAAGATGCAGCCCAGCAGCCCAGCACT